CTGCGCAACACGTGACCCGGATCAATTGATGGCGGCGTCCACGCGACGACTCCGACGCCGGCGAGTGCGTGCAGAAGCGAGGCAGATGCCACCGCCACTCCCGCCACGGCGTAACGGTCAGCATGCCGCACAATGTCAAGGGTTTATTAAATCCCCGCACCTCTATCCACATGCCAGTATAAATGGTTAGGCCGCAGTTAATCGATTGTCAGGTCACGTGTGGAGGGTTCAAGTGTGGGACCTCCTCACCATTCCAAGATGTGTGGCCAGCAGGAAAGAGTAGGCCAAACTACTCGCTGCAGGGTCTCTCTCGAGCACCCCTTTGTGAAGGCCCTTCAGCCAGCAGTGGTGTGAGCAGGGAATTACAGGGCTGCACCTCTACAACTATACACCTCAAGTCAACGCATGGATGCTCAAACAGCGATGTAAATTGGTGATGTAAATCGGCAATAATTGTAATTCAGCACCAGGATTTCAGAGAGCAAACAGCTTCTTTTAGGGACTGGCACGGAATGGAGAGGAGCCCGGGAGATTGAAACACATCACATTCCCACACACGCACACACACACACACACACAGGCTGCGGGGATGTGGATACGAGGCAGGAGGGAGGAGAGTAGAACAACAAGGAGCTGAAACAGCACGAGAAGCAAGCACGCTAGGGACACGGTAGAAGGAAAACTGCTCCAAAGGATAGGGCAGGACTTACGCGGTGCGATCACACGCGGCGGATGGAGGGAAGCCATACTCTTACTCTTAGTTCTTTCGGTAAAGTCACGTAAGTAAAAAAATGAAATTAAAATTAATACAAATTAAATAATAAAAATCACGACGTTTCGGAGGCAACACAAGTCTCCGTCATCAGGTGGGACCGTCACAGCCACGTGACTTTACCGAAAAAACTAAGAGTATGAATCCTTACAGTCACGAAAGCTTCAAATCTGGAGGAAAGCCACTTGGCGAGGTGGTCCGTTGAGTCGGGGATTGAGAGAATGGGGCGAGGACGAGGTGTCAATCTGGTGTCAATCTGGTGTCACGAAGGACTTGAAAGGGAGGGGATGGGACCGGAGAGCGATGGACACAGAAGAGGGATCTCGAGAGAGGTTGTCTACCAAGCCGGGCCGTGCCTGGATACAGGCTGGTTGAGAATGATGACGGCAACGATGCACAACCTAAGAAAAATAAACCAACAGCCTTGTTACCGTCAGGCGATTGGCTCGCTCGTACGTGTGTGCAGCCGACACGAACTGCGACGGCCATACAATACAGTGCGGGGATAAACACCGCACGCCAAAACACGCCGGTAAATGCTTTTGGAGACTCGTCGCTATCATCGTGCGAAGATATCCGTGCAGGCGCGATTATGTCAGTTTTACACGCACGCTGGACGCGTTGATGCACAGCCCTGGCGTGGACGAGAGCCTCTGAAAGCTACGTGGGTCATGGGGGTTATTTGACCATACTTCGCCAAGCTGGGCAGTGTGGGTTGGTGGCGGCCAGCTGGAACGATGGATCGTGCTGCATCCCCCTCCGATACGCACCACGCAGCAACGCAGCCTACAGCACCTGATACGCAAGCGGAGGGGTAGCCCAGCCAAGCGCTATCCAGGCTCAACCCCGCTTAGCTTGCGAGTGCCGACGCGACCGGCCACGTTCCCTCGCGATGTTGGTCACAGGCGCGCACTGTACGGTGTAATACATCTCATATAAATAACACAATCAAATTATTCAGAAAAAACAACCCCCACAACATTAAGAGTTTAGAAGAGCGAATATTACCGGGTATTTACAATCCATAACATCACTCGACAGCATTGTCCCCCCCTCACCCCTCCATTTAAATGTGCACGCTGCTAATGTGTATTTATCATACGGCGCTCATCAGCCGTCTCCCTCATTAGAAATGCGACACGCTCCCCTGCATGTGAGCACGCCACCACCGCCGCCACGGCCCCGGCTCGTGTCTGTGGCGGCACCCTGCATACTAATGCCACAGCTGTTGCCAGCGCCCCCCTCCCCACGCCGCCAGCCAGCCAGCCAGCCGCAAAGTGGCAAAAGCAGATGCGGCGACGTTTAATTCGAGCTCGGCTCCAGATGAAACCTCCACGTTCATCGCTTCTCCCCTAGAAGATGCCACTTCTCCGCTGGGTTCTCTGGGTTCTTTTCAAAAGCTCCGAGAAAATGTTGACGTCGAAAAACTCTGGGGAAATGTGGAGTTTTCAGAGATGGCACCGACTCGTTCATTCATTCATTCATAGATAACGCCCCGCTAAAATATGACATAATTTTACGGATAAAATGAGGAGTCATACCCAAGCGTCGACACACCTCGACGCTCGCCAAATACCTGAACAATCTTCTCCGTAACATATGCAGATCTCTCACGGTACTCGATCAGCTGCTGAGAAGAACGAGGGCCATTATACATCGGTGGGGTGTTCATAAATGGCTAACCCTCCACATCGCAATTGCAATTCGCCACGAACGGTGCGAAGGGCAGTCTTGCCTTATGCGCTTTCATTCTCCAGCGCGTTTTCAACAATGCGGCAGTGGAGACTGGCGGCAATGCGGAGAGAATAAACATCAGACGGCATATTCTCCACACTCGCTCGCCTGCATCGCAGCATCTCCAGCGAGCGAGCGAGCGAGGGCACAACAGGGAATCGGCGGCATTATTCATTCTCTGCGCATGAACGAATTGTTTTGTCTGGCCCGATGATTGACAATCTGCGGATGTTGTACTCTCTTGAAATGTTGAGCTTCCTGAAGTTTTGTGAAAAAAAAACATGCAATTGTTATCTTACAATTACGGGGCTGTTTTACAGTCTACATATGATTCATGCTGTTGCTGCACCTCCAAAGCCTTGCCTCGCTCCTTAACCCTTTCTCCCTTGTCCCACTCATATAACTGTCGGTCTAAATCAACATACGTCACGTGCTGTAACACAGTCTTCTGCGATGTGTGCGTTTGTATGCTGGAAGGCGCATTTCAATCATTTTAGATTCACAGCGCCATTCACTCTGCCAATGACCTGTTGGACAATTGACTTACGGCTAAAATTGAATGCCGGTGTATCGCTTAAGAAAGCGTAGAGCGTACATTTTAATTTAGAGTCGTAACATTCTCAAGGGCAGGTTTGGTATTCAAATACTGTACACGGCTGTGGGTTTCTGTTGAGACGGTTGTGTAAGGCTTCCACGGACATAGACGCTGGCTTAAAACAAGACGCACACGGTGATGTCCGAAGACATTTGAACAGGTCCAGGGAACGTCAGCGGCAAACAACATCCAAGTCTGCTTTGTCCAATGACATCACTCTGACCACGCACTTCATGCGGGTCACGGTGAAGGTCACAACGCATCCGCTAGACAGGACTTGTAGGCCTTGTAGCTAAACAGGACTTGTAGCGGCACGATGTCGTGGGTAGCAAAAGGCAGTGCAAACAAATCCACCGTTGGACTGTACTCCTACGCTCTCGTGTCTATGCTCACCGACTTCATCAACCCGCACGGAAGTATGGTCAAGTCACCTCCGCAAGCGCGCTAAGGGGAGGCGCTCGGAATCGTCATCTTTCTTTCTCCTGGAGGAACCCGATGAGCGTGAGGGCTGTACGCACGTGCACAGGTATACAATCGGAAATTTTAGTATCCACGAATACATTAATCGTACCTCTATGTATTCTTTACAATGCCAGTGAGATGAATACATCTCAGTGACACAAAATTCACAACTAAACAATCTAGCCAGGCCATTGGGCAACCTCTAATTTATACGGGAGATTACTGGGATGCATCCTTGTTTCCGGAGAATTCCGGATACAGCATTGCAATAGTCACCATATAGAGATACTGTGACACTACGACGCATTCCCAGAAATCACGTAACGAGAACATACAAAGCAAGGCGACACACGAGGGCCCGTGCGCAGAGACGCACTCGCACACACAAACCCCCACTCACACACACACACAAACCCCCACTCACACACACACACAAACCCGCACTCACACACACACACAAACCCCCACTCACACACACACAAACCCCCACTCACACACACACAAACCGGCACTCACACGCACACAAACCCGCACTCACACACACACACAAACCCGCACTCACACGCACACAAACCCGCACTCACACACACACACAAACCCGCACTCACACACACACGCACACAAACCCCCACTCACACGCACACAAACCCCCACTCACACACACACAAACCGGCACTCGCACACACACAAACCGGCACTCACACGCACACAAACCGGCACTCACACGCACACAAACCGGCACTCACACGCACACAAACCCGCACTCACACGCACACAAACCGGCACTCACACGCACACAAACCGGCACTCACACGCACACAAACCCCCACTCACACAAACCCCCACTCACACGCACACAAACCCCCACTCACACGCACACAAACCCCCACTCACACGCACACAAACCCCCACTCACACGCACACAAACCCCCACTCACACGCACACAAACCCCCACTCACACACGCACACAAACCCCCACGCACACGCACACAAACCCCCACTCACACACGCACACAAACCCCCACGCACACGCACACAAACCCCCACTCACACACGCACACAAACCCCCACGCACACACGCACACAAACCCCCACGCACACAAACCCCCACTCACACACGCACACAAACCCCCACTCACACACGCACACAAACCCCCACTCACACACGCACACAAACCCCCACACACACGCACACAAACCCCAACTCACACACACACACAAACCCCAACTCGCACACACACACAAACCCCAACTCGCACACACACACAAACCCCAACTCACACACACACACAAACCCCAACTCACACACACACACAAACCCCAACTCACACACACACACACAAACCCCAACTCACACACACACACACAAACCCCAACTCACACACACACACAAACCCCAACTCACACACACACACAAACCCCAACTCACACACACA